GAACGGTAGTGTGTGGAGGCGTTTGCTTATACGGTAGTCTCTACAGGAGGAACTGCCAACCAATGCCGGATTTAGGTACGGCAGGACCCGTACAAAAGCGAGTGGGGTTCTCCTTGTGGGAGAAAAAAAATCTTCAGATACAGTACTAAAAAACATTTTTTAGCAGTAGAATAGAAATTTGTAAAAATACAAATTAAATAGTATATTTTATAGATTCATACATATTTTAAAATTATTTTTGATACAACAATGCGACCTTTTTCGGAATATTTTGTAATCCTTTTTTCCTGGGCACTACGTAACCAGCTACCTATTTTGATTGTGGGTAAATCTGGCCCTCCTGCTAGCTAGGAATTCGCGACAGAGGGATGTAGGATGTAGAAGTGACACTGTGGGATGTAGAAGTAAAAAAAAACACAATAAATGAAGAGTTTTAATGTAAAATACATAATAACACTATTATCACCTACTAAACAAATCATTTATTCGTGTCTTTTATGGAAATTGTAATCGTAGTGAAGAGACGGTGTTTATTCACCTTGTAAACAGTTTTTATGATCAAAGCGGACGTAACTTTAAAATTAGTGTCGTGTTCCACCAATAAAACATTCTGTCCTGGTCTTCTAATTATTAATGCAAAATTATTAATTTAATGCATAAATGTCTTTTAAGAATTTATCTCTCGTGAACACAACAAACGATTGTATTTAATATGAACAGTATGTCTCTACAAAAAGTTTAATTGAACCTATTTTTTTTTTTAATTCGTAAGTGCAGCCTGAAAAGTGACGAACTATGATGCATTGAGAAGATAAAAACTTGGGCGTAAAACTGTTCTTTTACCCGGCATTCGGCCAATACGAAGGTTTCTGATTAAAATTTTCTTGATTTTTATTGCTCAGCTCCCTGTGTATGCGATATCATGTAAGATTTTTAGCATTCGTAATACTACACATATGCTTTAAGTAAACACATGGTCTTTTATGAAAAGTCTTCACCAGACACTTCTAAATATGATCATTAAAAACGTTTAAAAAGAACGTTTAAAACTTGCTGCAAGGAAAATTCCAGTTCTCTTAAAAATCTTTTAATTCAACCAGTTAATAAGTGAAGTTTCATGGAAACAGGCTTTAAGTTCTGTTTTATATTGCCACGTATACGCCTTCAAAAACCTCTGGCTGATAACAATTGAACCATTTTTACTACCTATATTAAAGGTCGTCTTTGGAAGTTGAATGTTATATATCAACCCCGACACAGTACAAACCAGAATTATATTTTCCTAAAAGCGATATAATGACGAATTGCCTCATGAGTCACCAAGAATTCGATGTGTCAAGGCACAGATGTAGACGACTTGTAAAACGGTATCTAGTAAAATTACACATGTGAGTCATGATATGACTGGACCACGTCTGATCTTAAACGGTTCTCAAATTCCCCATACATTAGCGGAAAACCTGTTTCGTTCATTATCTTCGGAAATATGCAAACTCATGCCCTTCTTAAGGGAACTCTGAGGATATTAATGTAAAAATATTGTCAACCAATAATTGAAAGGGGAAGCTGAGGCATTTGTAGTTTGCACTTAAGTTGCTGTAATGTATCAAACTTCATTTACAAATATTGAGATACACCATAGGAAATAACCAACAAAAAATCGAGCAATTCATGATTAATTGCGGTGCCGCAAGTCAGATGGCCGAGATCGTAGGTCAGTAGTGACGTAGCGGTCTCGGACCAGAAGACTGCAGGTTCGACTACCCCTCGGGCATGGGTGTATTTGTATATATCTATATGTATGTGCTCTCCTGTCATCCCTCACCACCACCATCATTTTCATCTCATCGTTCATACTCCCAGGACTATCAACCTTGAGGGATAAAAATCAGGATTCAGCTAAAATTCTGATCTCTACCTATACTCCCAGATAAGATGGAAAACAGTTCTCTAAAATCAAGTGACGTAGGATTTGTTCTATATCTCTAACATTAAAATATTTTTGAAAAGATTCTTAGTCCCCGTCTCACCATCCACACCCCTCTACAGTGAAATAAAATAGTGTAAGTTACCGAAAAAAACACAAGGTTTTTGGCTGTAGAGGGGTGCGGATGGCGTGATGAAGGGTTCTAAAAGCCTTTCAAAAATCTTATATTAATGTTAGAGTTATGGTGTAACTACTCATATGTCATTTGGTTTCGGGGTCTTATCCGGGGTACCCTTTAGTGCGTGATAAAATATTTTTAATAAATCCTGAGAATGTCGTAAATGGAGGATTTAGCTATTTTGTGAACAGAATATTACTGTGAGGTAACCATTTCTGCTCAATGTTGAATAAGAATGACTAGGGCCAGTCAGAATGTTATGGGACTGGCCTTGTCTAAGGAATAAAACGCTGTATCCTGGGTGAGTTGCTTGTTTCGTGGTTCCTTTCGTAACAGCCGTTTGTGGGAAAAGGATGCAACAGTGTTTCTGGGTTCGTTTTCAGCAGACAAAAGTCTTTGGCTGTTAAGAATAAATGTTCAATATATTGTTTTGTACCCACTCGGTAAGAAATGAAAATGTATCGAAAACGCACCTTAGCGAGAAAGTAGCATTGGAGCATTTAGATGTCGCGTCCGAGAAGGAGAGAGGGGGCTTGTACGGTTTCAGTTCCCCCCTCTCAGGAGCCGTTGATACATAATAAGAAATAGTTAGGTAAAATGAAGTTATATTTTACAATAAAGAAAAAATGTATTTACACTCAATACTGAACACCCATTCATGTTTAGAGTAGTTTACTTCATTCTCAGTGCTCCATAAGCAACGTGGTATTAAGCAAGCCTTTTCAATTTGTATAGTAGCGGACGTCATATTGTGCACTTCTAAGAGTGCATTTTTCGTTATTGGGGAAGAAAACGTTTTTTACTTGTCCTTATAGATTTTTACAAGATTTCTGCTGTAACCACCGAGTTTACATAATACAAATATAGTTTTTACTAATCTTCGATACTTAAAGTCCTTCAATACGTACTTAATGCAAATTAAATGTAAGGCTACAAATTAAAATTTATGTTATATGAAAAGAAAAGTTAATTATAAGAAAACATCAAGTCTTCTGTATTCTATTACCTGTGACTCTTCCCCCATCCCAACCTCAACCCCAACCCGAGACAAATCTTGGTTGTGCCTCTTGGTAATATTCACTTTTCGAATAGACTGTAAATGGCGGGCTCACCCAATGCTGAACTTATGTTTATCATTGCTTGAACTAATCACGAGCATTAATCGATGTTGAACTAGTAATCAGTATTTTTTATCTTACTCCCGTTTAATCTAATCCTTTCAAGCAGAGGAAGCTAAGATAAAAACTAAACACAAAATTAACAAAACACTATAATACAATATTGTTTAGACGTAATTTACCAAATGACATTTAATATCTTTTTATATTTCTGAAAAATAGAAATCATCGTTTGAGGAGGCACTTAACACAGATGTAATAATATTCTGCTTTTTGTGATAACCTTGTTGCAGCCGTATTATCGTTATACCCGGAAGGAAAGTTGATTTTCATTTTCCTAGGTAATATTCGAGTCACTTATCATAATTGCCAAGTTTTCCGTTTACTTTACCAAATGGATGTAAAGCTCTTTCAACTTAGATACACCTAATGCAAATTTGATTTAATCACTCATTCAAAGATAAATCCCGTTATCAGGAGTTAGCAACACTAAAAGATAAAATTTAACACAATACCAAGGTCACATTGAGATTTCGGGAAAACTGAATGTTTAAAATAATTACGGCTGTGTGCATTTTGGCCTTCGCTCTTCGGTACTAGTCGGTTAGTATGTGCATGCTGTTTCCTGAGAGGGGCGAGAGGAGATCTCGCCGTAGAACGTCCATCTATAGGCGACTCGCAGTGATTTCCCCACCAGGCCGCTCCCGTGTGAGCTGGCTAAGAGCATCAAATGATGTCTCTACAGCGCCTCTCGTTGGGGGGTCGGGTCCCGACGGTGACAGAAGTTTCGAAACTAGCTGGTCAGTTATGCCGAATTCAGCAGCTGTCTGGAGACGATTTCTAGCGGATGGCTGCTCTGATCGGTAGTTTTTCGTGGTTTCTCCGCTCAACACCAGGCGAATGCCGGAGCAGCACCCTAAAAACGGGCCATTGACTTCGCACGTTCTCTTCATTGTCTTAGCCTCATCTGTTACTTAAATACCTTTACATTCACTTTACAATAGCAAATGCCGGGAGACCGGTAGGGAGCTCAGAGTTTGTCCCACTGGTGGGAGATACCTGGTTGGGGGGAAATCCCGTTAACTGACGGTAGGTCGGCCCAAGATCTCACCATATAAGACTTGCACAAGGTGTTCAGTCCTAGACGCAGTGACGCGAAGGGCCTTAACACCTTTATGAACACGCCCGTCTATCGGCGGAAATGAAATGCCCTTATGGATGCTGCAATTTACCAGGCCGATCCCGGTGTGTTATTTCAGTTTTTGTTCAATTAATAAAAAGAAAGAGCCGCAATCTTGCTTTTGCTTAGGGGCTCTGACGTTAATGATCTGACGACGCAGACCTGACACGCAGCTTACGACGTAGAACTGACGACGCAACTGACGACGCAGACCTGACACGACCGACGACGAGACCTGACGACGTAGGACTGACGACGCAGACCTGACGACGCAGACCTGACGACGCAGACCTGACGACGCAAGACCTGACGACGCAGACCTGACGACGCAGACCTGACGACGCAGACCTGACGACGCAGACCTGACGACGCAGACCTGACGACGCAGACCTGAACGAACGCAGACCTGACGACGCAGACCTGACGACGCAGACCTGACGAGCAGACCTGACGACGCAGCACCTGACGACGCAGACATGAACGACGAAAATGAGAACCTGACGACGCAGACCTGACGACGCAGAGGACTGACGAAGCAGACCTGACACGCAGCCTGACGACCAGACCTGATCTGACGTTCGTCTGCGTGTCTTTGAGATTCTCGCGCCGTGGTCGAGGCCCACTGCTGCTATGGCGCGGCGGCGGTCGTCGGCAGCGCGCCCGGCGGCGGGCGTAGGAAGCGGGCGTGGGCGCGGCGCGCGGCGCAGCGGAGCGCGGCGTGGCGCGCGTGCCTCGCAGCCGCGCCCGCGACCTCCCGCCGGCATGGCCGTGGCCGCCGCCGTCGCCTCCTGCTCGCCGCCGTGCTGGTCGCGCTGCTGTTGTTGCCCGGCGTCGCCGTGCTGCTCTGCCTCGACCTCTGGCGCCTCTGCAGGTGCGTGGCTCCGCCGTCAGTGGATTGGTGTGAATTGGTGTACGCGTGTGGGTGAGGTGTTTTTAAACGATGGACTCCTTGCGTGTTTGGGTAGACAAGTGTAGAAACGTGTAATTGATTGGTTGATTAATAGATTGTTGGTGGCTCTGGGCGTGTCAACTGCTAAGGGTGTTAGCCCCTTAAGTGTAGTGTATGTTGTTTTTTCTTCGGGAGGGGGACGACGTAAAGATTAATTAACTCTTTAGAAATGGTTCTAAGTGCTGGGATTGCTGCCAGGAGAAAATTCGGAAACGACACGTAATGTTTTACATGCAGATTTACAGTGTCATTAATATATTAATCCGGATTCTATGTTTTACTTCTTGTAACTCCTCCATTACTTCTCACAGATCGCATCTTGTCAGGTATTTACGTTGGTATTTTAATGAATGGTTTACGACATCATTCGTGTTATTCGCATGTGTTTGCAAGAGGTTAATCAGACAGCGTTTAGGAATTTCGTTTCCTATTGTTACACCGTGAGTACGTATTCGCACTGCAGAAATGAGTCATGGACGTGTGAGAGCATGTGATTGGAGCTAGTTGCGGTAGCGGTGCATGTGTCACCCAGGATTCGTGTTTAAGCGAGGAGATTTATCTAAATGCGTGACAGTTCCACAGTTGTGTCAACGAGGTGTAACAATAATATATTTAAGATAAACTGTGGACAGGGTGAAAATAATTATGAACTTCGTATGTTACGAGGCATTGTTTGATTTGCGCACATATTGAGATGAATCACGAGTGCTTTCCAGTAGATTTATCTGAGCAGGCTTGACTTTTTATATACGCAGTAATCATTCTTTTCGTCAACAAATAAAAATATTATCCTATAAAAAAGATCTGCATATTTTTAAAATAAAATAAATACTGAATGAAATTTAAAAAATGGTTCCATGGTCGTCGCAAGTAGAACGTGCGTGATGTTTTTATGAATAAGATTTATTGAAATTCCTTCATCCTTTTAATTATTTTTGAAATTAAATTTGAATTGAAATGAATTCAGAAATCACCACAATTTTTCAATAGGACGAATACTTCCATTCCTGTATTATTACCGGTATAAGAGCATATGCCGCGTGACTTGGCAGCGACGAGTGTTGTGGAGTAGCGGTAGCGAGGAGTAGAGCTGTGTGTGTGTGTGTGTGTGTGTGTGTGTGTGTGTGTGTGTGTGAGTGATAGACAGGGATTCTCTTAGGAGCATACTAAATGAATGAGAGTCCATTGTGCCAAGAAGTGTGTATTAGTTACATGACTCGAATGACGTATTAGCAGTGATATAAATTTTTCCAACGTGTTAACGTAGTTGAGAATTGAAGACCCAATGTTTTAACATAATTTTACAAACTCACCTCCACATTAACCTGATTGTTTCATCCAAAGATCAGTTTTGATAGGCCAAACGATCATCATGGTCCGAACTGTGCTCTTCACCTGCCTCTCCTGTCACCAGAAACACTCCATACCCTTGTTTTTTTGTGTTACTATCGGGTACGGGCAAAGCCCAGAAAGCAAGGCGGAGTATATTTGTGTATTTATTGGAGCGAGTCACAGCTCAAGTTGGGAACCATTGGATTTGATTGGAAAGAGTAAATTGTTTGATGAAGGTCCGTTCACAGGAGAGTACGTGATGAACTGTAGTTAACAGTTAAATGAAGGGACGATCGAATGAATATCTGCTTCGAGGTGTCTGGATTCACGACGGAGTAGAAGATATGAGTTGTAAATGTAAGAGAGGCAATGTAAATAATTTCTTTTAAAAAAGGGAGCTAGTTCAACTGCTTCATTGTTCCCAGGGTAGTGAATCCCAGCTGTGATTAAAGTCGGGTGTATTTTGGTCCAATGTTTTACTACTCTCATTTAGAAGATAATTTGGCATAATTAGGCAGATATTCCTCCTTTTCATCCAGGATACCTAATAGATTAGCGTTATATAACAACCTAGAAATATTTAATTACAATATTTCCGTTGTATGTAATTAAATGACTTAACAGTTTTTATCTGTTAATATTTTTTCTATTTCTTTGTATGGTTTTCATAGATAAGATTTAATGCAAATGCATCGTAATTATATACTGCGCAAATATCGTGCACATTCATAAGCTACAGTACCTGTTCCTATTATTATCATAGAAACCGATATTTGCGGAAACTTCTGTTCTATTAGAAACTGTGTTGGAAGATTTGAGGAGGTTTCTGTGCCGAGGCTAAGTCGAACGTATCAAGTTTCTCTCGTAACGTACGCGTTCCGGGCGAAGCCTCTTCCGCTGGATGAGTTGCGAACCTGTCCCGGGCGAAAGCGTGTTGTCCTGGTGCTGTGTGGGGTTTGAGGTCATTGGGCAGCATCAACGTTTGGAGCTCGCGAGTTTTGCCGCATTGTGCTGTTGCGCACAGGATGCGAGCGGGCACGCCCTACGCACATCGCCCGCTGATAAGAAACGCGCGCCTTGCGTGTGCCCACGCTTCGCCTTGGAGAAAAAAAAGAAGCGTTTGCCGTGGCTTAACAGTTGCGCGTCAGAGAACGAGTGTGTGTCGTGACGAACGCAGGTGTTTTAATGGAGTATTGTGTGGAAAGAAAAAAACGTGCAAGTTCTCTAGAATGATACGATTCTTTCGTGACAAAAGGGAATATTCAATGAAAATTCAGTGTTAAAATGCATGAAAACTGAGATGTTTAAGCTAGTATTAGAAATTCAAATATGTAGCAGTTACGTATACCGGGTTATGTAAATATTTTTTGAAACTATCTTAAATGAAGTAAAGATACCATTCATAAGCATTTTAGGCAATACTAAAGCATTTTAGAAGGCGATTATAAGAATCTAGTGAATAAGTATCTAGTGAAGAAGTATTTAGTGAATCTAGTGAATTATAAGTATTTTATGGTGCAGATCATTGTTGTTGATGGATAGTTTTCCAGCGGTATTGGTGCAAAGGATAGGGCTGCACTATTGCATACATGGCACATGCTAAACACACAATCCTAAAACTCGTTTCGTCGTAATCTATGTAATCGTATAGCTCCTATCTAAGCATTCTTAAGTTGCACATTCCGCAGGTTTCCGATTCTTCATTCTTGCAGAATCGAGTTACTCCAAAAATTCCCAAGTAGAAGGTTAGTTACATCTTAATCTGCTCATATTACTCAGAACTTCTATCTTCGCCCGGTTTCCCTACTCGGTATATGCCCCGCAGGCAACACCTCGTAAGAGAGCTTTTTGTGACGTTCACCGTTATCCGGCTGTTCGAGCGCTGGAGTTGAAAACGCCGACCCCTGCGTTGGGCGCCTGCAGCGCAGCGGGTGTACAGTGGGTCGATTCCTTTTGGGAACGCGGGATAAGTTTGAAAATAATAGTACATCTCAAATAAAATTTCTTTTTGGTCTACTAGCGCTGCGGAACTTTATTGTTCCCTCCTCAGGGCGGTACATTGTACACAAACTTTCAATTGTCCACTACTAATCCCGCACTAATAATTTTTAAATAATTCCATTAGTATTTACACTGAGATTCTGACACTAACATGAATGTGAGAATATTTACAAGCAGTGTATGTACATCTTAATGATTTCAAATTCTATAGATTAAAAAACGAATTAGCTTCAGACGAATTAGTCAATTAATTCACAGGTGAATCCATTGTCCCGACCTAAACAAGTCAGTTTAATCCATTTACCTATTGGTTATTTTATGATACAAAATATGTTGTTTCGCACCTGAACGTTGCTTTAACAGTTAAAAAGTTACAAAATGATAAGCGAATCATTTTGTAATTTTGTAAATTTTTAAAGAAATGTTTAACAACATAACGATAAACTTCTTTCTGTGTGGACATTGTTGAAAAATGATATTCTTCAGGCATTCACCTACATCTATTACATTCAGTATTTCTCTTTTAGCACAATCCAACAGCAAAATTTTGGTATTTTAAATATGTATATGCACGATAACAAATACGTTTGTAATATTTTATTTTACAGTTTGTTAAATTTTGAAACGTCCATTTATGTTACATAACGTTTACAAGCGTGAAAGTTTTTATTGAGAAACTCTTGAAATACCAACGAAACCGTTGATAAAAGATACGCATAGAAATATTTAGTTGTACTCGTATTACTCCGTACTTTCAATTACAAGTCTACCCGTGTTGTTGTAGTAAATAACATACCACACTAATACAGAAACATATTTTCATTTTTGAATTAATATAAAATTTACACTTTATGCACTGCAGAATTCGAAAGTGCATATTGACTCTTCCGGTCTTTTAATTTATCGCAGAACGATTTTAAAGGTTTAAGAAAGGCTCATTAGAATTAGACATCAAATATATGACCACTGTCACTAGACAACGAGTCCTGTAATTCAGTGTACTATACACAAAAATCAACTTAGTTCAAAATGCGATATTAAATTTTGTTCGCACTCACGCCGACCGGGTATCTGCAGCTAAGATAAACGGTTTTACTAATTTTTATTTTTAAAACCGCCCACGTAACTTTGGACGCTTCAGCACTTTAAAGCGCTCTCCGACTAGAATTTAAATGCAACAATTGTGCAATAAAACTTTCCAACAGTCGTTTCAAGCACACTCTTACGTTCGCAAGCACGATGAGCACGAGCCCCACAGTCAGCAAAATTAATTCGAGCGTGTTTGGGTTAAGAACGTACTTTATACCCACATACCATTAGCAAGAGACACCGAATATGAAATCGCTGCGATCCTCTACAATCTAGTCTAGATTACGCTAAAAGAGATCTGGCCAAATGCACGGTTGAATTTTTGTGAGCGCGTTTTGTGTGTGAGTGTGGTGTCGGCTGTCACTGCCGGGTGGCGGCCGTGCGGAGGCTCAAAGAAAGCCCCTCGCAGGCGCCTTGGCCGAGCGCTTCCTTCCGGCCCCGACGCCGACGGCGCCTATCCGGGTCGGTGAAAGGGCGGCCGCGCGCCGCTATCTCGCCAGTAGCGGCGTCCCCCCCGCCCGTCAACGCCACCCTTGACCCCTCCTGCCTCGTCCGCCCTCCTCCCCACCTTCACCCCACCGCTTCCTCGGCCCTTTCACCCGCCCCACCAGCCCCACCGCTCCCACCGCGCCCCTCCTTCCGCCTCCGCCCCCACTGCCACCTCCGCGCACACTGGCCCCGTCCGTCCACCACTGGCCCCGTCCACCCCCTCTGCCCCCTTCCGCCCCCACTGCCCCTCCACCCCTCCCCACCGCCCCCTGCCCCCTCTAACCGCTAACATACCACTGCCTCCTCCGGCTCCCCCACTGCCGCCCTCTGCCCCCACCCTCGCCCCCACTCCTCACCCCCCACTCCTCGCCCCCTCCGCCCTCTCCGTCCCTCCCTTCTCCGCCCCTCCCTTCGCCTCGCCCCTCTCCTATCCTCTCGCCCCCCTCTCCTGGCCGCTCCATCCCTTCCTCCGCCATCCTCCTCCGCACCTTTTCACCCCCTGTTACCGTCCCTCCGCTCCCTCGCCGCCAGCCCGCCACACCCGCGCCCTCGCCCCCCCGCCACTCCCGCGCCGCGCTATCGCCCAAGCGCTCTGGAGGAAAGCAGGGAAGGCCTGACACTCTGTTCGGTGTTGAGGAGGGAATTTGAAGTCACACCCACAAACCAATGCGCTAACGTGTAGTGTATTGGACTGTGCTTCCGATTGAACTCAACCAACAGATACTTGTGACTTCTGTAAACTGTCTATGTAATCAAGGTGACTAATGTTGAGACTGTTAATTATTAAAAAGATACTGATATAGTGACTTGAAATCAGTGGGTGTTATTTTGAGAGCATGTAAAATGGAAAGGATTTACGTTGGGACTGTATTTATCAAGGGACTTTCAAGAATCAATGAGATCATTAAAACGCTTGTTTATTAAGTACAGATTTTAATGAAGTTTGTGTTTCACCTTTCGGATTTCAACCTTTGAATCCAAGTGAAGTGCAGTATTACGTATTAAATATATATAATTGTTATTGAAGAACTTTGAAACGATTATAAGGAAGAAAAAACTCTCTGTGTCAACTTTATAAAATCATAAATTCGTTAACTATCGTCTTGCAGTGATTTAATTTATTTTCTTGAATATTCTATAAAAAACTTTTTTAATTGTATGGTGTTTTATTTACTAACTGGTGTTTCAACATATCCAAAATATCTCGTCCATGATGAACATTAGTGTTTCGAAGGGCATCTAGTCTGTGCCGTGACTCTTATTAAGATTCAGTGAGGCTGTGATTGAAGTGTGTGAATGATGTTATGATTGAGATCATGTATAACCAAATTGATATATTGAAAATAAAATGAAATTGGTTGAGTGTCGCATCTTTGGGAAAAATTGCCGCGAAATGCAAATTGTTATTGTATACCCTCGAAAAGTATCAAAAGATATGGAATAACTTACGAAATCAGCGAGGACCACTGATACTTTAAACAAATATTTCTGCAAGAGGTACTCTAAAATTCTTGCGAGAAATTGAAGTCTTATTCGTTTCAATGAACGCTTGTATGAATTGCTGTTGTTGTTGAGATTTAAAAGAAATGAAACTTTAACAAATCGCGGTAATTTAAACTTTTTTGGTTGTTATGATGCCATATTGTAAATGTGTGTATTAAATTTTGGGAGTGAGGGTGATATTTTTAAACATCCCGGAGGGGGGTAGAATTTCCATCTCACCGATTCCGGGCCACGCGCTGAATTGAACTGTCGCTGTCCACCGTCGCCTCCATCCATCCATCCGTCCGTCCGCTCGCCCGCGGCGCATGCGGGGGAGAGGCGGGCGGGTGCTGATCCTCTTTTGTTTTGGTCACGCAGGCGCGACCCGGACGGCCGCGACGCCTCTTCAGCCAATGGTACGTGCGCCGACGCCCACGCGGGCAGCCGACGCCCACTCCTGCCCGTCGGGCGGCGGGGGCTCTCCACCGCGCGGCCGCGGCCGTGGGAACTCGCTGGCGTTCGGTGGCTCAGAGATCAGGGCTGCACAGCGACTGACGTCAGCTGTTCGGGCGACGCTTAGTAGAGGGCTGGTAAAACAACGCTCCGGTCATCCGTCCGTGGCCTTCTTCAGGGCTGATGACGCTTCATCCAACTTTGAGATCTTCGGGGTTGAAATACCTACATTTTTTCCTGGGCGTTTTCATAGTTGAAATGTCTAATATTTCGAGCATCCCTCATTATTCATTTCTTCAGGGTTGATATGTCCAACGTTTTGCCCACCTTTCCGTGGCCTACTTGATGGATTCTCGGCATGACGTCGAATCATTTTACTTCATTACTACTGAACGTTTTCGCTAACTCGTGGGTTGTTCCGGAAAGGGAGGAAGTTCTTTGCTATCCTCTATCAGGTGGGTCGAAGTGACTCCCGAAGAGCGTGTTTCCGGGCATTGTACAGCTTGTGTATTACGGCATATAAAATGTAGACATTTGCATTAACGATCTTCGTAACAGCGCTCGCTTAATAGGCTGTCTATCACCGAAAATTGTTGTTCGTCGATGTGCACCCAACCTCATTCCTATACATCAGATGTAGATAGTATTGTAATTTCATCTTATTTGACAACTGCGAACCTTAAGAACTGTACATATCGACGGCCCAGTTACTATCAATTGAATTCGATACGCTCTAAAACATGCCTACAATAATATCAATTTTGTCACCATTGAAAATTGAAACTGTATTGAATATATCTATTATTAATGACATGATATTAGATGTGACATATCAGCGGCCCAATTTCAAAATACACCAACTCAATTCTAAGTTTTGGTATATTGTCGTTTTAATGTATAATATCACTCTGAAAATGTCGGTCACAATAAATATTTTAATTGTAATGTTACGTCGTCAATTACAAAATGAAGTGGTGTTACTGACATTTTCAAAGCGATAATTAACTTTAAAACGGCAATATACTAAAACTTAAAATTGAGTTGTCTTTTGGAATTGGGCCGCTGATATGTCATTTCTAATATAATGTCATTAATAATAGGTAATTAAATACAGTTTCAATTTTAAATGATAAAGAATTGTTATTATTGTAGGCATGTATTAGAGCATATCGAATAGAATTGATTCTGAGAAATTACTAATCTTTTCAAACGACTCGTTAAATATTCTGTACACTACGAGTTGTACTTGTTTTAAATTATATTCATTATCTAAATATATATTTTAATTGATTGTTTATATGCACAAATGATCACAAACTTCTTGTAAATAGTACATCCGAAATTAGTAAAAATTACTTTTTAGTGATGTTTTCAGTTATCACTTCATACAAAGGCAATGCTTATGTTTTACATACATTTAAATGTGTTCCTTATCTTACTTTATACATTATATGTTTCATACCCAGTGGTCCTGTGTTTGACATTAGGGTGTGATAATACCATAACCCTTTAGTTTTAATATCGAGTATTAACATCCTTGCTTCACTAGTCACCAACGTGTATTATGAATACTCTCCTTCGATAACTACGAGAGTATTTGCGGAATGTTTTAAATCCTACATTTGTTTTCTTCGCAGTGTGAAATTCACTGTAATAGCAACCTGACAATTGAAATTAGCAACTACCGTTTGCATAACTGTTAATTATTATTGTCTAGAGAAGATATCGCATGTTATCTTTAATATGTGACTACGGAATAATAACTTAATAACGTACACTAATTCTTTTACATATGTAAAATGTGTTCTTGAAAACTGAAAACTTACAAATTTATGGTTTCCGTATTACTGGATGTTTAGAAAAGAAGAGTTCAGAGCCCGGGTTACATGCTTTAGTGACACCTTCAATGTGATAAACAAAGCCATTAGAACGTCTTTCTGGAAAATGAACCGTGAGTCATTTCTACCGCTATCTAGCTTAATGAAATGCGTTTTAGAAGTTGGTAACCTGGCATAATTAGCTTGTGAAAGCAAAATGATTATATTATTCTTTCCTACGGAGATTTTTGAAAAATATTAAGCGCTTTGAAGTACTTTCCGGTTATTTAACAGTTTAAAAAATTGATACTTGATATGAAATGTGTTATATTATTCAAACAATATAAATGTATATCAATTTTTTACGTTAAATTGATGTGCAATAAATGTATATCAATTTCTTTTAAGCAAATTGTATTTGCACATATTCTATTGCAACTTTGATACGTTTTTCGTAGGTTGCATTTAAAAGAAAAAAATGAATGTATGAGAAATAAATGATGTACTTTAGTTACACAATATTGTTATTCGAACAGGGATACCAAACAGTAGTTATTCAAGTTCTTGTGCGCTACCTTGATCTGCATCTGGTGTCCTTTGTACCATTCATAACGTGTCTACCATACCCTGTAAGCCCATCACCCCCAGCACGCCTTAAATGCCCATCATCCGCAACATGCTCATCATTACCTGAATCATTACCCAGAATATCCAGCAAACCTTCTGTACACATTCTCAAAGCAACTTACGTACCAATGATTCACATTGCCAACGCACCGAGGAAATCGGAAATAGAATACTGCGCCGGTTCTCTTCCTGCCTCGATGCCGTTTACATATGCAAAGCAGCCTGCGATAAGGACGCGGCGTATTTGCTCAGCGAGTCTCGCTCGTGAGTCACTGCTCACTGTGCCCTCCTGTGTAGCCTGAGAGTTTCCATGCGCTGTGGGAGCGTGTGTGTGCGCGCTCTGCGGGGGAGTCATTTTGCAATCGCCAGGCACCCGAGAGTTAATGTCATCCTTCTTCTCTTCTTCCTGGAACGTTGCCACACGCCTTTGAAAACACAGAGGTGTAGGTGTTTAATGGCGGTTTCGTTACTCTACAAGAAACACAACAACGAAACAGTAGACTTGGAAATTTGGTGTTCTATGATTCTAAGAAACTTTCAATTCTCCTTATTTACATTAATATCCATCGTGCATTTCAAGTTTTGTTCAAAATTGTAAGGAAGTAATGTCCGGTAACGAAAAGAAACGAAAGATGATACATCGATCTCGATTCGAGCGGTCTCGATTTTAAACAAGACTGTTCATGACACATTTTTCAAGGAAATTATCCCAAAACAGTATTAACAAACCCCTTTCAATAAAACTGATCGTACATATGTTATTGAATTTGTTGCACGACCCTGTATTTGAAATATTAAATGCTGTGGGTGTAATGATTGTCAATAACCAATCCTGGGGAAAAAGTTAATTAAAAATGTATTCACGTATACCGAAGACGAAAAAATTACTCCTTTTTCAGCTATAAGCTTTCTCACGATGATAGTACCTACCACTTACTGTTTACATGTGGAAACGCGTTTCGACCTCATTTGATAATTCTCTGTGAACTGTATTTCCGGCACATTGGGTATCTTGCTCGTTGAGATATCGAACGTCGTGATGCATGAGCAGTTACCGCACCTACTTTTACCACGTACATCCTTTTCCCGCGTAAGGCGTTGCCTGGCGTTTGCAAAACAATCCTTGAGACGTCGATCTGCCTCCAATTGAGCTTTGTCCCGCGTGGGCGGTAGGGCGCCACTCCGTGCTGGTGGGGAACGCGTCCTTCGTGTGGAAGAAGGGCCCTGACAAGAAGCCGCCGAGGCCCCTGGATGCCACCCTCGTCTCCACAACAGTGGACGACCCTCCCGGTGAGTCCTACTCTCCGATTTACTACTTTCCGATTAAGTTTGAGACACTTCCGACGTTCGATCAGCTTGGACGAGGTTTTCCAATCTGGAGCTTCGTTGCGACTTGATTTGAGGTCCGATTGAATAACCGCGTCTCAGCTTCTCAAACTTCAGAAGTCCGTCTTAATAAATCGGAAAATATACTCGTATTAAAAAAAGGTGTTCGTACAAGGTCACGAGCTGAAAAGAGGGAACTCTGCCATGTAATCGGGAGCTTCAATACCGAAAATTTGCGTCGTAACGAGTTTACGATTGGATGACAGTGTACCCCCATCTCCTGTCAGATCGTAACCTTGAAGGATCACAGGTTTAATCGGAGTATAGAGTCATTTTCATTGGGTGTGCGACGCCGCCGTCACGACCACCGCTATTGAATAATTTACATAGAGCCGCATGCACGATTAAAAAAATCCAACTGATGTGTGACGAGGTGCTACGTAGTGGCGCCTCGTTTAAAATAACTTTCGCAAAATAATTATTTTATAAAAACTGTTTTACTTTTTATTAATATTAAGTGGAGCTAGATTTAACAGTAAGATACCTGGAGGTTCAAGATGGTTACCATTACTTTTGAAGTTAAACGGAGTTTTACAAAGCAATATGAATAGACATTAAATAAAACATTCTATTACATAACGGTCAGAGAAGAAAAGCATTAATCATTGATGTTACACACCCTGTAGAATATAACTTCATTAATGTACAAACAGTATAAAATTTCAAAATATATTCCGCTCTCAACATAATGTGAAGGAATATACGAACTTAAAATTGTAATAACAGCAACTAGTCTTGTCAACAAAATCTAAAGAGCTATTTGCACAAATAGGTCTCCTACAAAATTATTCTAAAACCTATAATAATAATAACAACCTAATAATAACCTATAATAATAATAACATATAATAATAATAACATATAATAATAATAACATATATTATTATTGTTATTATTATTATTAAGTCCATTAGTTAAATACATTCGTATTGATGTGGCTAGGTAACGACTTCCACTTTACTGACATTCAAGATGTTTCAAACGCACGATATCTACATCCGGCATTGAATTTGCGGTTCACTTATCGTGAACAGATGGCCTTCAGGAGAAACGATCATCTGAGATTTTTTACTAGACTTTCTTTCGCAGACTTCAAGTAAAAGCCTTTCTTCGAAACATACGGACGCGTATTATTGAACGCATACAAATGCTTCGACTTGATGAGCGAATATTTGAAATTATACGCGCAAGAATTTTGTGAAACGACTTTTAGAAAAATCTGGGAAAATAAGTAAGCTGAAGACTTACTTATTGAGCACATGCATTGGGCACATGAGGGTAATAATGTAATTCATACAGGGATCAAAAAAATTTTTTAAGAATATGCTACGCAGTTTTACACCGTAGAGATTGCAGTCGTGACACGCAAACAAATAAATAAACTTTGTCTTAAAATTGATCCAGAATCGCGCGTTTCAAGATCCCCCCCCCTTAACACGGAAATGAAAGATGGATTGGGCCGTGAATAAAATCAGTTACATAGTTGTTTTGAATTTTTAAAATATAAACATACGAAAATAGTTTGTCTCCGTTTCAGGGTGAAAACTAGAACCGAAACGTTTTCTTATAAAAAGCAGACGGTAAGTCTGAATACAATGAGAAATATTTCATTACCCCAAACCGTTAAGTTTTGAAATGGTTTGATACTTTTTTAAAAAAATGCTGCATCTCATTCACTAAGTTTCATTCACTGGCGTTTCAAAGGATTTTGTTTCTTCTCTGCAAAGTACGAGTGACACGCTCAGGCTATAAACTCACTGCCTTCTCCTCGACTTACGCCACACAATGGGAAGGAAGACGCAGGAAGGACTTTCTCCAGGTGCGTCATTCGCGGTTCGCAATCTCAGAAATCCCGTTTCGTGAACCCGCACAAAGCGCTGGGGGACATGTCGGACTTGACCCGTATGCCACGCACCACGTGACCGCTCCACGTGACTGCACCTGACCGCACGTAACCGAGGTGAATCACGTTGGAGGTTGGCGATTTATTCTTATACTACCGTGTTTACTACCAAACGCGTTGTGTTTCAGTGTCATAAACAACTAGTATAATTGGACAAAAACAAAAGATAACAAAAAAATCGTGAAAAGTTTATTTGTTCTTTTAAAGTAGGCGAATATTTTCGAAAAGAAAGGAAATCATAATATTAGTCTGCTTTAATTTTAGGTCAGAGGTGATTAAAATTCTTTGACATGAACTATATGCCCATTTCTCCCTTTCGATGTACAATGAAACACGAATATTAGTGAAAGTGGGTGGTAACTCACTCTGTGCAAGAACAATTTAAAGAAAACTAAAAATTCAATTTTTAATGGTTCTTTCAATTTAAATTTCTTTCCCGAAAATCAAAATATATCACACTGTTTCTTGGTGCCGGACCTCTCGCTTTGCAGGAGATGTCTTTCCTTGTACGAGAAAACTCAGTTGATTCGACGCAGATACATTTAACTCTCGTACGGTATTATTAAGCTCGTGCTTTATATACGAGAGAATGAGGGTTGGTGATTTCGTCAGCACTACAGTGATAACAAACGTGAACAAATTTGTAACGCTGTCATTCAAGCGGAAGCTTGAACGTCACCATAGTGAGAGTGAGTCACTGCATGTCGTCTAAACAGGGTCTTTAACGTTACTACGGTGTCGTCTAATTTGGAGCTTGAACGTCACTTTAGTGATGTTCAAGCTCCCGATTGAATGACAGCGTCTCGGCTGATCAAGTCGGGCTTAACGTTTTAATCGAAGTATAATTTGTTTTTCAATGCGATCACTTTTTATTACGCAGGATCGAAAGTTACATTAACGTACGTTGTCAACGTCGCTCCTTGGTATCTCTGATTGATAATTCTGGTGTGTCCGTAAAGGAGAGGGGTAGGGATTTCCGAGCTGAAGAAAAGGCCCTCGCATGTTGATGGCGATGGTCGTGGTGGCGGCGGGGG